CTAGAACACCGGGGGCGGGGAAAGACAAACCCGCCGAAGACTACGAGTGCCGCCCGGTGAGTACAAGCCCCACATGTTTTTTTACGTGTTTTTTTTTTTTTTCAGGCATCCCTGCCAGGGCCCAGTCAAAACTGTTCGAATCGGGCCCCGCACTTCCTAAAGCCGGCTCTGACTTCAGGCATGAAAATACTGAGTTCCTACTGCCCATCTAACTAACTAGTGAGCTGGCGCCTTTTTTGTTTGTTATATTAGTTCACCTGTACTGATAGAGGTGGAGGTTGTCTGATATCCGAGGACAATTTCATGCATGGTGTAACTCCATTTAAAGGAGTTGTCTCAAAGATAAATTTGGCTCTCTCGTCTTGGCAAGACTTCATTTCACAGTGAACGAACACTAGATGGCGCACATGCCAGAGAATTAGAATTCCTGAATTCTTCAATGCTATTCCAGCCTCAGCTTGGAAAGTGATCATTACAGCCTTAGGAAAAGAAAAAGGAGAAAAGTAAAGAAATGGTAATTTTACCATTTGCTGCATACATCCAGTATACATAATGCTCTCCCTATATTTTACTTCATTAAAAAAACCCTCAGCTCTGTTTTACAGTCATTCACTTAGTAGAAACTAAGGTATGAAGTCAGAAATGTGACTGCATTTGACTGGAAAAGAGGCTGTTCTGTTTGGAAAAACATCTCCTCAGGCAGACTCTCTCCCCAGTCTTCCTTAAAAGATCTTAACTGTCACCCCACCCAGCTCATCTCCCAAATTACACACGTTGTTACCACGCTATCAATATGCTCTGGAACAAAGCATAAACAATTACAGTAATGGGCAGCTTGAGGTGAGCTCATTTTCCTAGTGATTTTTTCTCCTGCTGTTATTTTTGCTACAATGGGAAAACAACTTAATAGATTTATCAGAGCTTCCCCACTCCCCAACGCGTAGAATAAACATTGTTCATCACAGGCTAGAGGGACTGAGAAGAGGGGAGGTGGGGGTGGGGGACGACACACGTAATTGGCAGTATCTGACTCCAAACATAGCTGCTTGCGGTGATGAATGAGCTACTTAAACTGGCCACTCTTGCCCATAAGTGATGTCAGCCACAGCTAGTTCAGTAATACTTCGCTAATGAAGGCCCCGAATCAAGAAGATACTTAAGCACATGTGTGACTTTAAAGGTAGGGGAGGTGATATCTGTTAGTGGACCAACTTCTGTTGGTGAAACAGACAAGCTTTCAAGCTCCACAGAGCTGAACTCAGACGCAGTTTCTTGTGTCCTCAGGCCGGGGCAGAACAAAGCCAATTTTAAAAAGACTCTGAAACCTTTAAAAAGATAGTATCTCAACTCCACTATACAGAACAACACCCCTCTTCTCCTTCCCCCATAACCAGTCATGAAAAATAGCATAAAATAGCAAAGGTGGGTACAGAACCTTCATTCTACAACTTGCATAATCACAATCAGGAACCTAATCACTGTCTCTCTTCCTCCTCCTAGTCCGATCGAATTACGGGCTTGTCTTCACGTACAGCGCTAGAGCGGTGAACTGGCACTGATGCAGCTGTGCCATTGTAGCGCTTTAGTGCAGATGCTACTACACCAACAGGAGAACTTCTTCCGCCAGTTAATTAATCCACATCCCCAAGGGGCGGCAGCTATGTAAATGGGAGAAACTCTCCCATCAACATAGTGCTGTCTGCATGGAGGGGTGGGGGGGAGGGTGTCGGAGTTTAGGTCAGTATAACTATGTCTCTCAGAGGTGTGAATTTTTCGTAATTATACCGATTATAGGTGTGTAGTGTAGACCTGGCCTCAGTTGTAGCACTGAGATCTGAATAACAGAGACATGGAAGTATCTGCTTGGATTCCTTGCCTGTTTGTCTGCCTGAAGCTCTGTCCCATGGGTGGTTAAGGTGTCTTGGTCTCCTGGAAATCATTTCCCATTTGAAACACCTTTGTGTTTAAATAACAGGCACTTTCAGCTACTCTGAATAAGGCTCTGTGCAAAAATTCAGGAGAATTATTCCAGGGTCCTTTGGATGCTAAAACACTTTTCTTTCATAACATACATGTACCCATAAGAAATCTCCTCAACTCAAAGCACTGGGCAATACTTATTCACCACAGATTGCTATTTGTATACCCTTTTCTGTTCCTTTCAATTATGGGGAAATTGACATCTTGTAACCAGTGCAAATGTATGAATAGCGTTATTATTTATTATTAGTCCTAGAGGTGTGTTTTTCTTCAGATCATATCTGCACAAATAGGAATAATAATAGTCTTTTTGGCTGATCATGAAATGGCTTGGTTTTATTACTGAAGACCCTGGAACTTTTGAAGCAAGCTCCTGTTTATTGCTTTTAAAAAAATAAATGATATTAAAATGACAGTCATGGCGGAAAAGCCCTCGCTTTTTCCAGGCTGAGTTCCGAAAGGGCAGACTGTCATTCTGTCGTCCTTCTCCACCAGCGAAAGGCTGTCTCTTGTTACACCTTGGTGCCAAGCTATTTTAAGAGTCCCCTTTTATAGAATTAATTTCTTCTCATCTGAATTTAACAAAGGCTATTGCATTTGTTGACATTTTATTTCACTGGTTTACTGTGTTCCACCAGAGCCCTCTCAATCCCAACTAGCATGCATAATTTATGGAGTGACAGTGTCTGATATTAAGACACTACAGTGACAGGCATGGTAGAAAACCCTAAAATAGATAGATTAAGTGCAGACATGAAAAATATGCTGATTTCTCCACACGAACTTTAAGAATGGACACATGCAATCTTTTCAGTGAAGTCTAGTGGCAATAGATAAAATCAGTGTTTGGGTTCATTAGTATTAATTGGTAACATACCAGCATTTCTCCAGGCTAATCATCAGACACAGAAAGCCATCCACACAATCCACCTTGATAAAGGTTCTGGCAACAACTGAGCGGAAGATGAAAACTAAAGTGGATGTAAAGAGATTCCATGAGTCAGCCATGCCATGACTTGTAGTTTTGGCATCAGGTAAGCGATACTGCCAATGAGTTTCAGGATATTTGATGTTTGACTTAAAGGTCCAGCTCTTAGTGGGGTAAGAGTCTCAGCTTTCATTTTTAAAAAGAGGATGTTTCTTGCCCTTGTGTTTGTGCAGAAGCTTGAAAGTATAACCCAGGTGCACCCTGAAGACTTAAAGCCCAAGGTCAAATAAAAACAACTCAACATTGATCATTTTGTAAAAACTCTGGTGATTGGGGAGGGGGAGATGGGGGACTGATTCATGATTTTTAACATTTGGAGTTGGCAATACTGGATAAGCCAGTCCAGAGAGTGAGGGATGTGGTGGTATACAAGCAATTTGGGGACTGTTGTGCAGTGGCTGTTGTTGAGTCTGTGCTTCCATATGTTTCAAATGTGTTTACTGGCATTGCCCTATCAGCTATTTAAATAGTCCCAGATTCAGAGAGGATTCAAAGATTTAAGGCCAGAAGGGATCCTCTATTCTGACCCACAGCCCATCGAATTTCATCCAGATACCCCTATATTGAGCCCAATAACATGTGTTTGGCTATGACATATCTTCCTGCAAAGCATCTAGTCTGGATATGAAGACTTCAGGAGCTGGAGAATCAGTGCTTAATTTGTGCCAGGGCCCCGGCACCTCTAAATGTGGCAGTTCATAGGCCTGACATCTCTGGGCTTGCCACGTTACTTATGAAAGTCAAAAAATCGCTTGAGCCCCAGCACCTAATGGCTTGAGCCCTGGTAGCTCTTTCATTACACATTAAGCACTGTGGAGAATCTACCACTTCCTCTATATTTTGTTGCAGTGGATAATCAGCTGTTAAAAATGTGTGCCTTATTTCTAATTGGAATTTGTCTGGCTTTAACGTCCAACTACTAGAAGTTCGAGCAGGAGAAGGCATACCTATTAAGATAAACTATGCCCCTGGCCCTTGTTGACGTAGAAGCTATCAAAACATTTTGATGATTTGCAGAGAAAGCAACATCAGGAGCATCCAAGTGGTTCTGTATTTCATACTAGTGGCAACATAAATTTTATCATGAAGTCAGCCAAGTTGTCTAAGGTCAATGTGAGTTCTTCAGCATCATTTGTCTCAAAGGTTCTTTTCATGGCATTTCTGCAGCCTTTCAAAATTGGGTGTTCCCCTGTGATGTTTAACTGGCTCTCGGAAACACAGTTTAAAACAAGTTTTGGACATAGGCGCATGGAACAAAACCAGCATCGGTGGGGAATTCATTCTGGCTGCAAAAAGAAGATGGTGAGGGAAGCCTCCCTCATGAGGCATCATATGGAAGGAGGCCTGAACCAAAAAGCCAGGCCCACACCCTTTTGGGGTATTTGAAATCCACACCCAGATCTGAACGTGAATTGTGTAAGTGTCTTCTAACTTTATAGCGGATTGATCCAAAAACCTGGATCCAAATACTCCTAAATTTGGTGTCTTGGTCTCATCTCTGATCATAGTTATCTAAACACTCTGGACAAAATTATTCAAGTGGAGAATGAAAATCCTTTGCCCAGATTTAGACCAAACCATCTTTTCGCTTTGTAGGAAGCTTGGCAGCTTTTGGTAAGGCCTTGAAAAAAGAACGTGTCAAGATCCCAACCAGGAATGAAAACGTTAATACAGCAGGGGTGTGTTACGTAAATCTGTACTTCAGTGAAGCACTTGATAAGTTAAATGAGAGCTGAAGAGCAGGCTTTGAAGATTATGGTTGAGATTCTGTGCTGAGCCTGTAAGAGATACAGCACAGAATTCATAGCCCAGAGGAATGGCGGCGGGGAGGGTGAGGGATGGGGGTGGGGGGTACGGTGCCTTTAAGCCACGCTTGTACTCTGCTGATCCTGGAGAGGCCCCTGGCATAATGCAGACGGCTATTTAAGTTGTGGCAGCCTCCTTGGGCAGTCTTATGGGCTGCAGTGCTGCCCAGAATCTCTGCAGTGCGGCGGTCTTGTCCTTGATGTGCCCCTACATCATCCAGCCTGAGCTGTTTGACCCCTCTGTCAGGGCTTGAGACTGTCTCTGAAGGCAGCCTTATTACAGCTGTCATCCAGAGTGCAGTGCCTGCACCTGGGGAACGTCCACCAAGCAGAACGGGGGCTTTTACGGCCCTTTGATATCACTCTGGCTCTTCTGTGTGGCAAGAAGGGGCTGAAGCAGGCGGAGTGAGGTCAGGAGCTCACCCTATGTGCTTTGGCTAGTGTAAACCACAGACATTTTTATCTTGGAACAAATATTTTAGTAGAAAGCACAGTCGGGAAAGTAACTGAAATACTTCCCTGATGGATTTTATTTTCGAACTGGTCAACCTATCCTAAATTCTCAATTACTAAGAGACAATCTTCACTCATTGATATATTTGCTTTCCACAACCAACTCTCTGTATAACTTTTTATGAGTGATGTACCCGAATATTTGGATGCTAATATCTAAATTGTATCATTAAATTTGTTAATCATATTTGGGTTATTGCTGATTATGTACTATATGTATTATATTATTTTTAAACCAACGTTTGTACTTTTGGATAATTTAAGCGTTATATCCAGATGTACAGAGACTCTTTTCTTAACCTATGGATTATATAATTTTAACATTAGCTTTAATACAATTTTTAAATTCGGCTTCGCCTTGTCAAACATGTTAATGACCTGAAGATAACCAGCAGTGAGTTAACTATGGTAAAAACTTTAGTGTAGACAAATCCATGGCAAGAGTTGCATACAAATCTCTGACCCAGCTCTGCAGACATTTCATATGCAGACATCCCATTGGCATTGAAAGGACTGATCTCGAAGTCCTTTCATAGGCAAAGCTCTCATTAATTTCAGTCATCCCCAATAGGAAACATGTGGATTGACTTCAAAATTGGACCAATACTGGAAACAGAGCAGACCTAGGGACTAGATATGTTATTTTCCTTGTGCTTCCTTATCTCTTGATCAGTCTATCAACTATCCACACATATGCTTCTCTAAGACCCATTTTAAGAGCGTCTCCTTGTTTTTCCAGTAACTCATCCAGCCCCAGGGGTGAAAGTAAGTCCAGTGACTTACCGGTACGCTGGAGCCAGCTCTGGCCCCGGGAAGGGGCGGGGCCTAGGGTGGAAGGGGCGTGGCTGAGGGAATCAGAGCCAGCCCCAGCCCACTCTGTAAGGTAAGTGCCCCCCCACCGGGGTAGCAGCAACAGCCCGGGGCTCCAGGGGCTATTTAAAGGGCCCTGGACTCCCCTGCTTCTACCGCCCTGGCCTGTAAATAGCCGTGGGAGCCCTGGGGAAGCAGCGGGGCTCCTGCGGCTATTTAAAGGACCAGGGCGGCAAAGGCAGCTGGAGCCCTGGGCCCTTTAAATAGCCCCTGGAGCCCCCCCATTACCCCTGGGCTCTGGGGGCTATTTAAAGGGCCCGTGGCTCCCCTGCTTCTACCGCCCCGGAGGGGCGTACTGGCTTACTTTCACCTCTGGGCTCTGGGGGCTATTTAAAGGGCCCGTGGCTCCCCTGCTTCTACCGCCCCGAACTGGGGCGTACTGGCTTACTTTCACCTCTGTCCAGCCCTCATCAATGTCAACCTGCAAGGGGTTTTGTCTCCTGCTTAGAAGACACGAGCCTACACACACAATCTTCAAACCTCGCTCTTCAGCTCTCATTTACCTTTTCAAGTGCTTCACTGAAGCACAGATTTACAAAACACAGCCACATTAATCTTCTCATTCATTGTTATGAACGTGACATGTTCATCTTTTAAGGTTTTACCGAAAGCTATCAAGCTACCTATAAAATGGGAAGATGGTTTTGTACAGATCTGGAAAAGGAATTTTTTTCATTTGGCCTCTGAACACTTTCATACAGGATATCTGGATCATTTATGATCAGAGATAGGTCTAAGCCACCAGATTTAAAAGTGTCTGTTTGCCCTATAAACCTTAAAACTTGCATCCAGGAACAATCATCTGGGGAGTGTCCAGACTAGACTTTACAAACACGTTAGCTACCCTGAGTTAACCTGCAATCAGCTGAGAAGTAAAAGCTCTAGTGTAGACATAGCCTGTGAGGTTGCTGTTTACAATGAGACTTTTATTGACATGGTGACGAGTGTACATCATTAACACATGCCACATTACTTGAATTTCAAACACACTTCTGGAAGCCGGCCAGCAAAAAGCACAAACTCAGATTGTGCCAGTCTTTAGAAAGACTGTTAGATGATGTACCACTTCTTTTACTAACCACGGACTGTGAAAATACTTGTCCTGGGTAAATTGCACATCAGGGTGCAGTATACATACAACTCTTTAAGGTTTTGCTAATAAATGCATGAAAGTATTTGGGGAGACTATATGAATATATAAACTGTTATATATAAACTCTTTTTTAAAAAAATCACTAAAGCAATAAAATGACTATGATTTTATGCTGGGATTTTTAACAATGTCCATGTTTCATAACTAAGAATCTAGTATTATTTTAAAGTTAAAAACTTATTCTAATTCCTCAGTAAATACTCTATTTGAGCAGAATAGCATTTTACAAATCCAATGATGATAAGATCCTGGAAGATTTTAATTATGACCCTTTGAAATCAGTTTAATTGAATTTTTATTTTATAAGGCAATTCCAAAGAAGGGCGCTAGATGGTGCTATCATTCTCTTTTTGAGCAATTAGGCTATTGTTCAAGCTTTAAATATATATACATTACTGCTCCAAGTGCAGTACTGCCAGCCACAAGTGAACAAAAATCATTTTAGCCCCCCTACAATCATGAGATGGTTTTAAAAATCACGATGTTAGATTAAAAATCATGAATTTTTAAAAATCTAAAAAAATTGGCTTTCATTTCCCCCACCCACCACCCCCTTTCTGGATTTTGAACCTTTAGGTTACACTATTAGGTCACATTTTCCAGCTTTCCTCCATATCCAAGAAACTTATTTATTTCTTTAAATGAAAGCTGACATTCCCATGTAATCAGCTCATCCCTTGAGCGAAGGCTTTAAGACAAACACTAAATATCACAAAACTCATAAAAATCGCGAGAACTGCTAACCCTGCAAATGTGTGCTTCAAAATACACTGGACTTTACTAAAAAACACAAAGCCCATTGTATCAGCAGGGTCTTAATCACCTAAGTAGCCTTATATGTGAGTCAAATATTTGTGGCCTGATTCTTCATGCAGTTACACCAGCTTTACTCTGCTATCCTTATGGTGCTGCAGAGTGGAGAATTAACACCTCCTTCCAGTTTATGCATTTGTGCAAATGTATCCGTGTAACAGAACTGATCTTGTGCCTAGGGACTCTTGGACTTTCCTCAGACCTGGCAAATAGTTCTTAGCAGGGGTGCCAGGCTGATGGTGTGTGGAACTCTGGTGGCGGCTAGGTGGCGGGAAAGGCGGATGATACCTAAAAGGGGGCATGGCCCGTCATGGAGCGCTCGGAGCCAAGTGACAGCAGTAATTAAACGCCACACTAGCTCTGACTCAGAATAGGCTTAGCCCTTAGGAGCTCTCTCTCGGATGGTAACCCCTCAGATAGTATTCCCTCAGGATATGCAACAGCCTGTGGCATGAGAAATGGACCCCAGCTGAAAAGTTTCAATCCAGATCTGAGCTTTCCAAAAATGTGGTGCTGTTCAGGTCTGGGGCTTTGATTCAAGCCTATTTGGTATGCACAGTATATCCCAGCTCTGTTCCTCCATCTGAGTTGAAGCTTGTGTAGACAACAACCAATGAAACAAACATTTCCTGCTTTCTCATTTTGGTTTTGTTATATTCTTGTTATTTTGTGATGTAAAAATAAGACCCAGGGTCTGATTCTCCCTGCCTTGCATCTGATGTAGGGACTTGCACCCGCAGGAAGGATCTGAAAGCCCATGAAAAAGTCAATAAGAGTCTTTCTACTGACTTCAATGGACCTTGTATTTAGCAGGCCCAAAATAAGAGTAACCTGGGTATAAAATACTAGCACTGCTTTGAGGGGAGAACTCTGATTTGGTAGTGTTTTACACAGGGGTAAATGAATATAGAAGCATACTTTAATAACAAAAAGACAGGCAACAGAATTCATTTTTATGCTGTGGAGTGTTGGCAATAGAAAGATGAACCTTGTAGATGAACAAGAAAACTGACCTGAGAGGTCTAACTTGAATCATGGGGACAGATGAGTTGTGCATTGCCATTTAAAGCTGCTCTCCTCTTCCATCCTGTCAGCCTCACAAAGGAGTCTTCAGGAAGGATGTTCTTCTGAGGAGTGTTTTCTCAGCCTTGCACCTGTTGCATCTCTAAGTAGAGCTAATTTTTCTCTCAGGCTACGTCTCAGAAATCGATCTCTCGGGGATAGAATTATCGCGTCTCGTCGGGACGCTTGTACTCCACCAGCGCAGGTAGGAGTAAGCGCCGTTGACGGGGGAGCCGCGGAGGTCGATTTGCCGCCATCCTCACAGCGGGGTAAGTCGGCTCGGATACGTCGAATTCAGCTACGCTATTCGCGTAGCTGAATTTGCGTATCTTAAATCGACACCCCCCCCTCACTATGGAGTGAGGACGTAGCCTCAGACTTGGGATGGTGGATATCATCTTTGATATTTGGCTCTGCTTACATAGGTGAAATTTCCAATAACATTAAAGATAGTCTAAACGGACAGGAAAGTTAAAGTGGAGAGCCACTGTGCTGATCTGAGAGCAGAAATTTAGCCTAAGAGTGCACCATCTCAGATAAGGAGCAGTTCAGCTTGTTAAATGGAAGCATATTTAGAGGAGGCTGTTGCTGCAGAAAAGCCCACCTGCCATGGTAATAGTCACTTATAGAAAGTAGCTACAAGTAAAATAAAATAAATGATCCGCCCATAGCACCGAAGTTTGGGAATATAGGAATTGCCAGACTAAATCGAACCTGACATCAATCTAGTCCAGTATCATGTCTGACAATAGCCAAGACCGGGTATTTCAGAGAACGGTGTAAGAACCCCACAATAGGCAAATGTGGGATAATCTGCCCCCCCCTTTAGGTTTGGTTTAAACCTTGAAGCATGAGGTTTAATATCCCTTCAAAAATTGTTATAATTTATTATGATAATTCTGGATATTCTTCTTATCCATATAAATGTCCAATCCCTTTTTGAAACTTGCTAAATTCTTATCCTTAGTGACTTCCTAGGGAAATGAGTTCCACAGGTCTGAGTCACCTTGATTTGCACTTCTGCTTTTCTCCATCTGAAATTTCAAACGATATTTTAGAAATTGAGAGTGGGAGATAAAGAGGCACACCAAGGAGAAAGATGGGAGAAGAAGTGAGATAGGAGAACGGAAGAGTAAAAGAAATGATAGATATCCTGCATTTATCTAGTGTCTTTCTTTCTGAAGGATCTCAATGCATTTTACAAAGAAATTCACATTAAAAAGTACAAATTGGAGTCAAATTTGAGATTGAATGAAACCACTCTGTGCTGAAATGGAATGACTACTCATGCTTCTCTCAATTTTAAAGAGAATATAACTGAATGGGAAGTTTTTAGTGAGATTGCTCATTAAACTCAATTATTTTTACAGAAAATTATTCATTAGAAATATCAAGATTAAATAAATGAAATGTAATTGTCTATTTAATATATGTGTTTAAAATATTCCTGTTAAACAATTACATACGATTCTGGTCAGTAACGACCTTTGCTATGAACATAGTATACCCTGATGAAGCCTGATCTGGCACTCCTTTTACACCCAGTGCCCAGTCCTGCCTCTGCTGAAGCTGATGAGTTTTATCATTGACTTCAGTGGGATCAGGACTAGGTCCCCAAAACATTCAGGGCCAAATTCTCTGCTGGTGTAAATCAAGTGACTTTGTGAAGTAAATCTGGAAAGTTTAGTATGGGAGAAATGAAAGATTGGGCCCTAAAATGATAGCTAATGTATAATTTATTAAATAATTGAATTTATGAATAAACAACATACCAAATTATTATTAATCTCTCTGGCATTTTATTAACTAAAGTCTTAAAGCTGCTTTTCAGTGCTAACCGTTTGATCAGCTCACGCTTTACAATGGAGAATTGTAGCGTTCTTTTCCCTTAAGAAAAAAATCCAAAATTTGGACTAATTTGTGTGCAACTGCATGCATCAATTAACAGTACAATCATTTTGTTATGAAAACGTAAACATTAATAGCCTGAAGGGTCTTGTAAATGGAAATGAAAAACTTTCATTTAAACACCCTCTCACTTTCCCTTGAAGTACAAGAAAAGCCTCCTTTTTTTTCATTCACTTTTACAATAATAGTTTCCCCCACCACACACACGTTAAAAAGGTAATTGAATTTAACCCAGAGAATTCTAAACTGGGATAATGGACAGTCAATATATTTTGAAACAACCTAATGCAGGCTGAAACAAAGTGTTCTTAAACCAATGAACTCATCTCATAGGCCATGAGCTACCAAACGGAAAAGACACATTTGACTACAGTCAGTGGTAGTCTCTTGCTGTTTTTCTAAGTGTCTAACACTGATGCAAGAAACTGTCTGGATACTGTTGACTGTTATTGTGAATCAGTTGCAAATTCCTTAGGACTAGATGCGGCCTTTAAAAACAGGCCTGAGCAAGGAACCCTGAAGTAGCCCCTGAAGACACTGTAGCCCACAATTCCCTGGATGCTTCCTCTTGCTCCAGAGCAACTAATTAGCTTGTGATATAGGCCAGCAGTAAATTATGACACCCCCCACTCACACACGCCGCCCCTCCCCCCCAGTTCAGATGAGTGCATTGTAGGAAGCACTGTATCATAGACATGAGTTCTACTCCAGTGGGAGTATAAAGTGAAGAAACTTGCATGCAGATCTAAGGTCCACGTGGGCTAGTGGTTCTCAACCAGGGATACGTGTACCCCTGAGGGTACGCAGAGGTCTTCCGGGGGTACATCAACTCATCTAGATATTTGCCTAGTATTACAACAGGCTACATAAAAAGTACTAGCGAAGTCAGTACAAACTAAAATTTCATACAGACAATGACTTGTTTATACTGCTCTATATATTATACACTGAAAATGTAAGTACAATATTTATATTCCATTTGATTTATTTTATAATTCTATGGTAAAAAGAAGAAAGTCAGCAATTTTTCAGTAATAGTGTGCTGTGATACTTTTGTATTCTTATGTCTGATTTTGTAAACAAGTAGTTTTTAAGTAAGGTGAAACTTGCGGGTATGCAAGACTCCTGAAAGGGGTACAGTAGTCTGGAAAGGTTGAGAGCCACTGAGGTAGGCTGTACTGGGGCATAAGAGGGGTACCTGCCAAATCACAGCTGATAATGAATTCATGTAAAAAATGAGAGTAAATTTGATACTCAAACCAGGCACTAGAGAACAAATCCTGTGAGAATGAGTAAGGCAAGCAGGATTTCGCCAGAGGTGTATGGATGCAGACTTACCATTATCTGCAATGCCACAGGAAATGTCTATGCATGGAGTTTCAGGCTCATTTGGGCTTTGTCTAAATAGGTTCACAGGGAATTTTGGAGGTGCTATCCTGAAGTCATTCACATACAATAATCCCTTGACCTTCATGTGAGTGTTTCTTAGAATTTTCAAACGTTGCTGTTGTTATGTTACTGTAAATACCACACTTGGATGCTTGACCTAGACATGTTTCTTCACTGGAAATTTACTACCCTCCTACCCAGAATATACATAAGCTTGTTATTGTAGGGTTGCTCTTTTCAGAATTGCTTCTTATTAACTAGAACAAGTCCAGTCCCCCACAGTGCACACTGGAGGCACTGGGATTGCACAGGATGTAAGTCAACACAGGGTTTGGTCCAGTGGTTGCTTTGCTTGTGCAAGGACTGAAGGGACCACTCCAGCATAAGGAAAAAGGTGTGGGCAGGTGCCATCCTGAAGCATAAGAGCTCTGTGTAAGCTCAAAAGCTTCTATCTCACCTCAACAGAAACTGGTCCAATCAAAGATATCACTTCACCTTCCTTGTCTCTCTAGTATCCTGGGACTGACTGGCTGAAACAACACTGCTTATATGCAGGGCCGGTGCAACCCATTAGGCGATAGGGCGCTAACATTTGGGGGGCGGTGACGGCGGCGGCCGGATCTTCGGCCGCCACGGTCGTCGGCGGTATTTTGGGGGCGGGACCTTCCGCTGCCTCTGTCGAGGGCAGTATTTCGGGGGTGGGACCTTCCGCTGCCTAGGGCGGCAAAAAGGTTGGCGGCACTCCTGCTTATATGTCCTTAACAGTGTCCTTTTAATTCAATTTCAAGCATCTTCAGACCTTGGTCTCCCTGCCTTCAACTCAGGGTTGTTAAAATTACAACCCCGCCAGTCAGGATTCCAAGGTAGAATTTCCATTACTTCCTAGGCAATTTTTAATCAGATCAAAGGGGAGATCAACAGAGGTAATAATCCTGGGTAAATAGTGTGTGTGCAGCCTTGTAACTCTGGGACTGTTCAAGCCAAAAATCCAAATGCTTTAGTTATTCTAGCTTCATTAACACAACATTCCTTCTGCAGCGGGGCAAAGCAGCCAACTTTGTGGAGGGATTATGCCACTGGATGAGGCAGCCAGGAGGGATGTCTGTGGTCAACCTATTCCCTACATACTGTGCAGTGGTTGTGTCCAGGGCCCCAAGAGCAGTTGCGACCCAAACCTGCTTCTGTATCCCTGTTTGTGGTCTGGCATAGCAGGGTGCTCGCAAAGAGGTTTCAAAATACTCCTTATGCTGGGTCACAAGGCACAACAGAGCGCTCCCTCAGAGGGGGGTGATCTTAGCACACGTCACCTGTAGAGCCGATCAGAAGAAAAACCCAGTGGAGAGATTTAAAGAGGCAGTTGCCACCACGTACCCCACCCCCAGTGTGGAAATCCTCCAGCCTGAAAACATTTTCTTTTCTTTTTACACTTGGACTGTGAACACTAGGGGCTCCCTTCTGCTTGGAGAGAAGCTTTTCCTGTACTTTTTTTTTTTT